AGCGACAACTACAACTGGCGGAGCCTGACTTCTCCGGGCATCACGGGGCACTTCAACAAGTTCTGCCTGACATCCGCGACAAGCAACCTCATGGTAAGCAGCGAGGTGTTGGTGATCGATAGTTTTGTCGCTGTCGCTTGCGACCGCTGCTCTCCTTCCTACAGAAGGATTCATGCATGCGTGTTTACAAGCCGCGGGGTCTGCGGACGTTGTGCCAGACGTTGGTAAGTGGAAGAGCACCAGTGTGTGCATTCCGGTGGCGCCACCGTCCGTCATGTTTCGCTGAATGAATGCATGCTGATGATGAATGAAGTCGGCCTAACGCGCGGTCTGCGGACGTTGTGCCAGACGTTGGTAACTGGAAGAGCACCAGTGTGTGCATTCCGGTGGCGCCACCGTCCGTCATGTTTCGCTGAGTGAATGCATGCTGATGATGAATGAAGTCGGCCCTAACGGCGGGGCCGTTGTCGTCTTGTGTCGCCGCCCCGGCAAGACGGGAACCTTGTTGATTTTATCGTTGTCGCCTGAACCGTCCACGGCGCGTGTTGGGAATAAGGGGGGCGAGATGTGATTGTGTATTGATTGTATTGGTTTTTGTATGAGTACTACATACTTCTTTATTCGTTTGTCTCGATCCCGCGATCGATCTGCGTTTGCTGTTCTTTTCGTTCCCGGCCCTGTCGTTCTTGCCGTGTCGCCATCGTTCGTCCATTGTTGCAACAAAAAACAAAAAAAATCCCGAATGAATCTATCGCCCGTCGTCATCGCACACACAACAGACTTGCGCACCCGGGGACAACACGTACGACGGAGTCCAGACAGACGTCAGCCTCATCTCATCGGTCAGCCAGTTCCACTCCATCTACACCACGGAGTCGAACAACGGTGAGATAAGATGAGAGAGAGAGTGAAAAAATAACAGCATCCACAACAGCAACAAAGACGACGAGGACGACGAGGACGACGAGGACGAGGACCGCGGGTAGCGGGAGAAAAGAGAAGTATCTCATGAGTAAACACTGCGTTAGGCAAGGGACTCGAGTATTCTGTAAGTAGGGGGGGGGGGGACGTTTTGTTTTTTTGCTCCCGGAAAACCGGTCGCGGAACTCCCCCCTGCCCCTACATCGCATGCTGCTGTTGCCCCCCTGCCCTACGTATCAGCCGTCTTGTTCTCATGCGATAATTCCTGCCGTTGCCCCCCCCCCCCCCCTTCTTGGCACCACCCCCGTCTCCTCAGGGTTCTCCGGTTTCCAAAACGTGCCCCGATACCCGACGTTCGTGTACTTCAACTGCGCCACCGGAAACGTACGTTACGAAAAACAAGTGTTGAAAACTATGTTACGCCTACGTATCTATCTTGCACGATGTGTGTATGCGTACATTAAATCGCCTCACCTCACTGCTGTGGTGACACATGACTGTATCGAGATAAACTCTTCGACAAGCTTACGGATGACACATTCTACAGAGACGGACAAGCTAGAGTTTTCATTAAGCCCACTTCTCGCTCGTACAACCCCCCAAGCACACACCAACTTGTAGTTGGTCCAGTACACCATGACCGTTCTTGCGCCTCAGAATATTTCTGCTCTTGTTTGTATTTTGTTGCTATTACTTCTGCTGCGAACAAAACTTGTTGTCCTTTCTTCCTGTTTCGAAAAAAACACGACAGTGCCTCGTCAACGAGAACGAGTTCATCCGTCGCAGCACGTGCGGGTGCTCCAACCTCAACCCGGCCGAGGACCAGGGGGTGAGTGCGGCCTAACCACGACCGTGTGTGTTGGGTGTACTGGTGTTACGCACATGCCGTGGTCGTTAGACCATTGGCCTCGCGCGTCTACAATGCCTGGACGGAGGAGCGATAAGCCGGGTTTCAGAAGGATGATGAACCAAAAGCTGGTATATCATCCTTCCCGTGCAATTGCTGTGTAACTGCTGTGGTATCAAATTGCGGTGTAACTGTGGTGTGCGAGGTGCGAGGTGCGAGGGGTATCAAATTGCGGTGTAGCTGTGTTGCGGGGGGTATATGGGGGCGGGCGAACAAAACGGGGCTTGTATTGTGCAGGTGTACGTACGTACTGCAGTTCTTTGCTCGTTCGCCCTGACGCATGCATTCATATGGTTGGTATCGTGACGGGAAGGCCTGGAGGCTAGAGAAGCAGGAGGATTCTCTGGCCAATGAGTTCATGGGTGTCGCGTCCTGTTTCTGCGTTGTCTTGTCATGATATCAGTTTGGATCGATCGGTTTTTTTCCCAAGCGTCTCTGCCTCGGCCATGCCATGCACGGTCGTTTCGCCAGTCCTTCGAACCAACAAGACGCCACCTTTCTATCGTTAACCAGCGCCCCCCACCCGCGCGCGCTGTTGCTCGTGGCGTTGGTTTTTGTGGGTTTGTCTTCTCTTTCTCTCTCTTCTCTTTTCTCTCTCTTTCTGTCTCTTCCTCGCTGCTCCTCTCTCTCGCTCTCTCTAACTCCCCCCCCCTCCCCTCTATCTCTCCCCTCTTTTTCTCTCTCTCTCGTGTTTTCCCTCTCTCGGTGGCTTCAATGTGATTGGTTGACGATGCAATTTTCGAGACAGTCCTGCTCTCTGTGCGATGACATCCAGTCCTTCGGCAACGTCGAGGCCCTGTACGAAACCGAGGCCAAGACCACCACGCGCCAGATCCTCATGGGTCGCAGGTGAGCTTTATGTTGTACCTCACTTAAGGAATGTGCAACCAAACGTATCCCGTCTACCTTTAGCTTTCGAATATTGGATTTTCGGTCGTTCCACCCCACGCTTGACCGGGGGGGGGAGAGAGGAGGGGAGTTCGGGTGATCGCACGACCCTCCCCGTCCACAAACACCATCAGTATGAAACAGTCAACGCACCATCAGGCACACTACCAGAGCCATGCCTACCTCCCACCCCGTGGCGGTTTTCACCCAGGGACAATCACATGTTCCGTCAGGCTAACGTCGTCCCGTATTGTCCCATTTCCCACCCGCCAACAACACGGTTCTTAATCCGTTTTTCCCGTTGTTCTACCGCGCACGCTCTTCGCCAGGGACAAGTATATGTTCCACCAGGCTAACGTCGTCCAGAACTCGGCGGTGCCCGGGGGGTCTCTGCTAGCGTACTGGTACCAAGAGGTCATGGAGCTCTTCTCTCAGTTCATCTCGTTCCCCGTCACGGTGAGTGACACAAGGGGGGGGGGGGGGGGGGGTTGGTGAAACACACCCGGCCGGCACAAGAAGGGGAAAAGCGTCATGTGATGATTTTGTGGAGGTGGAAGCTCAGTAGGTGGGTGATGTTTTTTGGAGTGGTACTAAACTCAGTAGGTGGTCGGATCCGGAGGGCAACAAAGGCAGTCGCTCGAATGGTATCCTGTTGCCGACCCTGTTGCCGACATACACCCTCCTTGTACGGATTTATTTTTTTTCCTGATATTTATGCGTATGTGCAATGACGGAGAGTAGAGCTCGAGTGCACGTGACCTCCCCCCCCCCCCCCCCCTCAAAAGTCAACACCCCCACACCCCCAACACCCCAGTGTGTGTCCAAACAGACCCACAAAGACCAAAACCCCCGCACCGACTTCGGTTTTCCCAAAAAACCGGAATCCTCCGGAGCTCCCCTCACAGCCACCCGGGAAAACGTCCCTGGACACCTCCCCCGGAATCCCCCCTCCCCCCCCGGGCCCCCCCGGGGGATCCCCCTTGCCGTTCCCCCCCCTTTGCCCGCACACAAGAACTACAAGGTAACAACAAAAAAAAAAAAAAAAAAGTACCTCGAACAAAAAGAGGGGGAAAAGCACCTTTTGTCCCAACTCCGATCCAAAATTGTGGGGGGCTTCCGACAACATAGGAGGTTTCTAAGGAAACCCCCCCCCCCCCC